CGCAAAATTCACGCAAATAACAAAGCAAACCTTGCTGTGCATGACTTTAATAGCAAATTATAGCAAGAACAAAGCAAAGGTTGTCGTAACAGTGCGGATTGTAATTAATATAATAATTTAATGAATTAATGAGCTCATTAAAAAGATTTTAATTAATAGTATATTAAATTTTATATAAATAGATAAAAATAATTAAATTTTCTTTATATTTTATTATTATTATTAATATTAATAAAAAATATATAGAATTTTAATTATTTTTATATTTATTTATTTATATAAAATTTAAATAATGCTATTAAAGTCCTTTTAATGAGCTCATTATTTTATTATTAATTACAATCCGCACTGTTAAAACCTTTGCTCTGTTCTTGCTACAAATTTGCTTATATATTTGATTATATCAAATTTAATAATACTATATATTAATCTCTCTAAATAGAGGGATAATACTTGAGCAATTTTTTTAAAGTTTCTATTATCAAAAATGTTTTATATTTATTTCCATATATTTATCTTCAAATTTTTATTTTTAAAAAATCGGATATCTATAATTTATAATCATATATATAAAGACATAAGCGTTTTATATGTATATATAGACCGCTATTTAATTAGTATATATATCACTGCTCAATCCTGAAAAACTCGATCAATCGGCGTCACGAAAGGAACTGACCGAAGCTACCTTTTCTTTCGCTATTATAATGATATTACATATATCGTACGACGAGTTTGTCGAACGTAGCAATTGGTTAACGAATAGAGAATTTCTAAAGTTTCTATCTAATATTCAATCGTTACGTCCGACCACCATCATTTTGTAGTATGAATGTAATATCGGCCTTAGACAATTGTGCTTTGCTTCACGCGTATTTAGACGGCGGGAAGATTGACACCATCTATTGCAGAATTATATAATGACCTTAAAGGTGCGTACAGACTTACAACAGAACATCGTAACGTAACACCGTCGCGTAACACCGACGAAATGCATGGACAATACCCCGTAACGCTTAAATGTTTGGTGCGAGGTACTGTCCATACATTGCGTCGATGTCACGCAACGGCGTTACGTTACGATGTTCTGTTGCAAGTCTGTACGCACCTTAATATAATCAACATAGTTAATTTAAAATCTTGAGCCTTAGAATTATTCGTAACATGTTTAGATTTTTAATCTCTTTTCAAATATAATAATTATAGACAAATATAAATATATTATCTATATAAATATAAATATACTGTCTGTAGATATATATTTGTCTATAATTATTATATTTCAAAAGAGATTAAAAATTTAAACATGACAAATGACTGTATTATAGTATCAAGATTTTAAATTAACTATATATGTTAATTATATTAAAGCCATTATAATTCTGCAATAAATAGTATCAATTTTCCCGCCGCCTAAATACGCGTGAAGTAACGCATTATTGTCTAATAGCGAAAAAAAAGATGTTCTGTCAGTTCATCTGCGACATCTGATTGATTGAGTTTTTCAGGCCTTAACGGTGATATATCTAATTATTGAATAACGGAAACGATTTTTATTTCTTGACGATGTTATTGGACGCTGAGCCAAGTTGAACACCATTAATTTCGTCTTGGGAGTTCTCAACTAATAATAACAGCAACACCTGAAATATACAATATATACAATAGTACGAATATATCTAATACTATATTGTCCGTAAAAGAAACTTTATTGTCTGTCCGAAAAGAATCAGCAACGTTAAAGGAAGCAGCATTATCCAACTGTTTGTGCGTAACAGGATCTTGTGAAACATTTGAATGTAAAGTATTTTTAATTTCCAAAGTAATTCGCCTTCGTTGTCTCGCAGACAACCGGTGGAAAGATTTACGCGAAACAGAATATTTAACTGATTTCATACTTGCCTGAAAAATCTTCTAATCCTCTGCGATACCTTGCGGCACTTAGAACTTGGAAGCTCGTCTCAAAAATGTGGGAAGCTTCTAGAATTATAACCTCTGTGATAACCTTGCGGCACGTATGGTAGCACTCACGGTGGTTGAATTTAGAAGAACGCGGGAACAGTACTGGAGGTTACAGGACAAAAATTCGCGCAAACGTAGTAGCGCGCATTAAAAGCGCGCAAACGTATGTGACACATGACTACGCCATGCACGGCAAGGTTTGCTCTGTTATTTGCGTAAATTTTGCGTCTCATCATGCCAGAACAAATCTTTGCTCTATTTTTGCCACAAATTTGCTATCACGCCATGCACAGCAAGGTTTGCTCTGTTATTTGCATGAATATTGCGTCTTATCGTATCAGAGTTAACTTTGCTCTATTTTTTTCGTAAATTGTTTGTTATACCGTGCATGGCAAGATTTGCTCTGTTTTTGTCACAAATTTGCTTTATATCGTGTATCACAAGATTTGCTATTATTGACGTAAAGTTTGTATTTCACCATGATACCATCATTTGCTCTCTTCTATAAGTAAAATTTACGAACAAACTTTTCTCTGTTAATTGCAGCATCATATAACGAAAAGTTTTGCCGTTAATTTGTTCGAAATATTTAGACAAGACGAAGCAAGGCAAATGTTTGCCAGAAAATTGTTGTTAAAATTAAAGCAAACTTTGCCGAAAAGCTTTAACGAAACGTGATTTTATCACTCTTGGCTAGCTGGGCAGTATATAAATTAGAGTTCAAATATATCAATATCAATTTTTTTATAATATATATATATATATATATATATTAGAATATAGAAAAATGATAAAAAAATATATTTCGGCGATTTAAAAATTTTTTAATATATTGAAAATATTTTTACTACATACACTATATATAAGTGTAAAATAATTCAGAAAATAAATTTAATAAAAATCTACATACCAGCTGTGTGCATGTGTGCAATTGATTTATTACTTGAAATTTATTTACGGAATTATTTTGCATTTATATATTTATAGTATGTGTAGTTGTAAAATGATTAAAATATTTTCAATATCAAATTTTTAAGTTTCTCGCCTATATAAAAAATATATTTCTATGATTTTCTATATTCCAATATATTATAAAAAATTGATATTGATATATTTGAACTCAAGTTTTTTACGTGATTAAATATTCTTGCATTGAGCCATCATACGTTACTCGTAAGTTCTTTCACGTCATAAGTACTTATGTAGCAGAGAGGAAGAAATGAGAGTTATACAATGTAACATCAATAATCTTATATATTATATATATATAATATTTCATTTATTTATAAAAAACATTTTATAAATAAGTAAAATATTATACAGACAATGTACAAGATGTTCAGTTTGTGCCATAACAAGCTTCAATCAATAATTATTACTCCAATGAGTATAATTCACAATAATTTTTATATAATATAATAAGTATTTGAATATATAAAAATATTTTTAAAAATTTGTTTTAAAAATTAATTGAAAAAGAATATTTAAAATATTTTTTTATATTTAAAATATTCTTTTCCTCAATTAATCTTAAAAAAATATTTTTAAATATTTAAAAATATTTAAAAATACTATATATTATATAAAAATAATTGTTGATTATTATATTGGATTATTAATTGAATGAAGCTAGAGCTTTTAATATGGCTTTTAATACTGCTTGACAAGGAGAGAGCATCATTCCATCTTTGTCTCTCTTACATCGCATATGTAGTAGCGTCCATGTAGGTACAAACACTAAAAATATTAAATTTAATTTTTTTATTGTTTTGAATAATTTTATCATTAATATACTTATTTTCAGAACTATTTCAATTTTTATTTCATACTTATGTTTATATAAATTATAAATTAAAAACATATCAAAAATGTAATACATATTAATAAAATGCAAATACATATAGAAAATTAATTATAAAATGTCATCTTAAAATAGTTTTTATTTTTGTTCTTTATTTACATATGCATACATATACAAAAAATAAAAATAATATGATAGCCTTTTTGCTAACATTATCTCTCAATATTTGCATCCGTGTGCTCACGTATTAGTGTTTGTACCTACATGGACGCTACTACATATGCGATGTAAGAGAGACAAAGATGGAATGATGCTCTCTCCTTGTCAAGCAGTCAGCATGTTACCACAGAAATTTCCCCTGCTCCTTATGAATCTAGTGAGAATCTTATCGTCCAGATATTTCATAAAATAAGTGACATAACTTCGTGAATTTTTTTTTAATATATTCTTTATATAATAAAGCAGTCCTCTAAAAGGCCGGATTTTACATTTTCGCTCTTAAAAATTTATAATAAATAAAATACGGACTCGCGGCTAACCCAACCTTACCCGTTCCTAGCTGTGCATTCCCCCAAGTTTATTAAAAATTTTTATTTTTATCTTTTTTTCATAAAATAGCTCTTTAGAGGACTACAAATGAGCTTACTGATTAAGAATATCCTAAATTTAATAAGATTCATTCAATATTTTCGCTAATATCTGGAAAATAAGAATCCGTAATTCCCGGCCGGCCGATAGGCGTCTCCACCATGTCGCCTGCCGACCCTTAAAGAATTAATTGTCTTATAGAATATAAATGAAATAAATTTATGTTAATACATAAAAATAATTCGGTGAATTAAAATTATGTCGAGACGAAATAAAAATTCGAAATTATTATTATGTCGCGATATAATTTCAACTTATCAAATTTTTATTATGTGGCGACATAATAATAATTAGATGAATTAAAATTATATCGCGACATACAGATATTTCGGTGAATTAAAATTATGTCGAGACATAAAAATAATTCGATAAATTAAAATTATTTCGAAACAATAACAATTTTGGATTATTATTATGTGGCGATATAATTCTAACTTAAAGAATTTTCATTATGCGGCAACATAATAATAATTTGATTAATTATAATTATATCGCGATATACAGATATTTCGGCGAATTAAAATTATGCTGCAATTATTTTTCTTATTTAATAAAAGATAGTGTGCGATGTAATGAAGGTTTGACAAAGTAAAAGGAATAAATTTATTTATTCAATGGAGGATTTTTTTACATTAAATGGAATTGGCCACCATTCGCTTCCAAACGTTTTGTTGCCCTGTACGCAACGCTTTCTGTGGCATTCTTTATATGTCGCCGCTGTACGGTAGCAAACGTTCTTTGTATTCGTTCTTCTAATTTGTCCTGCGTTTCTATGCGGTTAAAATAAATTTTCTCTTTCTGCGCACCCCACAAGAAAAAATCACAAGGATTCAAATCTGATGATCTTGGTGGCCATTGCCAAAAAGGTGCTCCACGACCCATCCAATTATTTCCATACGTATTATTTAAGTATTCTCGGACAGGTGCTGTTATAGTTAAAACAATAAAATTAATAATTAATTAAAATTAAATAATTAATTAAAACAATTTTAGAACCAGTAATTAATGATATTTATAAAAAGTTTCAATTAGAAAATTGAATTAATACAAAAATCATTTATGCGAAATAAAAATCGATTGAAAAGTATATTTGAATAAATAAAAGATTGTTGTTATTGCATTGATGTACGCTATTTTATGCACTTTTTGCATGCAATTTTTAGTCAAACATAATTTTAACCTACGAAAAACAATATTTATCCGTATAAAATAAAACTTCTTTAAAACAAAAAATTGCGAAAATACAAACATTGAAATAATAGCAAAGCGTCATGTGTTTATTGAAAATCAGAAGTTTAGAAACTTTCAGAAGCTAGTATTTTATGATATAAAAACATATTGCAAATAGCATTAATACTAATAGCTGTAAATTCTTTGTAAGTTGTACTAAAAAATTTAAACTTTGCATTAATTTGTTATTTAATTGAGACCTGAAAATTTTTATTAAAACAAATTATGTTTTCAAATATGTTTAATAATTTATAATAATTGTAATCTGCATTGTGCGCTGGACATCCATCATGCATAAAAATAATGTTACGTCGAAATAACGGCATATCGTCGATAGCAGCGGGAGGAAAAAGTAAATTTGGCAACTCATCACGCAAAAATTCCAGATAATTAACCCATTTAATCTTTCCGGCAAGAATACTGGTCCAATCTAAGGATAATTATTTGAAATTCATCATAAATAAATACACACTATGGCTTTATAGAAATTTTTGGTATTGACAAAAGTAGAAGTGAAAAAACGGAATGTTTACAAATGCTAAAATAGATATTTAAATAAAAAGCTAAAATTTAAATAAAAATAAATACGTAAATCTCCAGTCACAAGAGAAAGACTACAAAATGGCAAAATGTAAAAATATGTATTATTATAAATTTCAAGAAGGCCTAAATTTCAAAACTAAATCATGAATAAGTTTCCTACAATTTTTTTCACAAATCTGACAGTTTATCGTATTTAAATAACTTACATTTTTTTAGTCGTTTATTTCCCTGGTAATGTATCAGTATTGGTTTGGCAACAAAAATTATTTATAAAACAAAAGAAAAAACTGTATTTGTCATATTGTGCAAGAAACATCGTGAATCATGGCATATTTTATGGAAAATTATTTTAATATGATCCGTTTGTATTTTGCAAACAAAGAAAATGCAGCTCTCGCAGCTAGGGAATATCAGCGGATATATCCAAATGTGCGACATCCAGACGCGAATGTTATCCGTGGTGCGGTGAGACGTTTTCGGGAAACTGGCAATGTTATACCTGTTCAAGTTGAAGGACGTCCTCGTAATGTGAGAAATCCGGAAGTGGAAGAAGACGTGATGGCGCGGGTCGAAGCCGATCCTCGAACAAGTACTCGAGTAATCGGGAGAGAAATGGGGATTTTGCACGTCCTTGTGCATAAAATTTTAAAAGAAAATAAAATTTACCCATACCATTTTATTCGAGTGCAGCAATTGCTTCCACGTGACCATCCACCACGTCAAAGGTTTGCCCGGAATTATTTAGAGGCAATAAGAGAGAATTCATTATTTCATCGTCGTATACTATGGACTGACGAATGCACTTTTACGCAAGATGGAACATTCAACTCTCATAATTATTATTATTATGGCGTTGAAAATCCTTTTTTGACGTAGAATAATAAATTTCAATATCGATTTATCAAACTTTTATTATGTTTCGATGTAATTTTAATTCACCGAAATATCTGTGTGTCTTGATATAATTTTAAATCATCGAATTATATATATATATATATATATATATATATATATATATATATATATTATTATTATGACGTCACAAAATAAAAATTCGATAAGTAAAAATTATATCGCCACATAATAATAATCCAGAATTCTTATTATGTCTGGACATAATTTTAATTCACCGAATTATTTTTATGTCGCGGTATAATTTTAATTTCTGGAATTATTATGTGTTGCCACGTAATAAAATTTTGATGAATTAAAATTATGTCGATATATAATAAGAATAGAGAATTACTTTTATACCCAGACATAATTTTAGTTTATCGAACTTTTATTATGTTTCGATGTAATTTTATTTTACCGAAATATCTTTATGTCGCGATATAACTTTAATTCATCGAATTATTATTATGACGCCGCATAATGAAAATTCTTTAAGTTAGAATTATATTGCCACATAATAATAATCCAAAATTTTTATTATGTTTCGAAATAATTTTAATTCATTGAATTATTTTTGTCTCAACATAATTTTAATTCACCAAAATATTTGTAGGTCACGATATAATTTTAATTCATCGAATTATTATTATGTCGCCACATAATAAAAATTCGATAAGTTGAAATTATATCGCGACATAATAATAATTTCGAATTTTTATTTTGTCTCGACATAATTTTAATTTACCGAATTATTTTTATGTATTAACATAAATTTATTTCATTTATATTTTATAAGACAATTAATTATTTAATCTTTTTATATTAAATGAAATATTTTTTATGCTATGAAAAAGTAAAACTACGTACCATACGTGAGCGCGGTTGCCACCGCGCCGCAGCTAACTTCGCGCGCCCGCCCCTGACTTATTCTTGTAACTCCGCGCTGATTGACTGATTACAATAATTAATTGCGCTGAAATTATTCATCAGATCAAAAAATAGTATTAGACATTTATTCTTAGATTTTCATTCCCTATCGAATGGTACTAAGCGTATGCGACACTTTTTTAACACCCTGTATACCCAGATAGCCACAGTAATTATTATGACATCATTAATCCCAATGAATCAAAATGATGCATTTTAACATCAAAATGATGTCATAATAATTACTGTGGCTATCTGGGTAATTACCAAAACTTGGTAGTCAAATAATGAATTAACTGTTTTATTAGTATTTCATATATGCCATGATGCTTAAAAATCTGCATGAAAAAAAATTACAATAGATGATATTATCTTCTTTTATTTTAATAATATACTTAATTACATTATATATAAAACAATGTCACTAATATGCTACAGAATATATTGCAAGAAACTAGTGGAACGCTAGGTTACACTATCAGGTACAATTAACATACATTTGAAAATAAAATATATTTTAGCGATATTAAAAAACTATGCAATCATAAAGGAAATTATAATTTTTTTTACTAGTTGTTTTGTATAGTACAATGTGACAAAATAAAATAAAATTCTTTATTAATTTTTGTTATTTATAAAAATAAATTAATATCTATTAATTTATTAAAATAATTAAAATTTATGAAAAGAAATGACTTTTATAGAAACTATATTTTTAATAAAAAACCACTCCTCAACGTTTAAAGTCGACCAGACTGGCAATAATTTATTATGAGTAATTATTTGAAATACAACGTTTCGGCTGTCATTGCAGCCCTTTTCAAGTACATCTATAAAAAGTTCCATTAAAATAATTATAATTTAATACACTTATTCACAACAATTAATTATACATTTAAAAACAAAATATTGTTTGCGTCAATTGGATTTCGAATCCTATTGTTATTTTAGGTACGTCGATGATATTTTTTCAATTATTCCGAAGGGAAAAATTGAGGATATGCTTAGTGTGTTCAATGGCTTCCACACTCGACTTAAGTTTACGTTCGAACTAGAGAAAAATTGTTCTCTGAGTTTTTTAGATACGAACGTTATACGTATTGGTGGTAGATTGACGACCAATTGGTTCCGCAAGCCTACGTATTCAGGCCGCTATATTAATTTTCTGTCAAATCATCCTATGAGATATAAAATCAGCGTGATTACAAGCCTAGTTGATAGGGCTATTTTACTCGCTGACTCTATGTTTCATGAAGAAAATATTAATTTAATCAAAAAAATTCTTATTAATAATTGTTACCCGTTAACAATTATAAACAAAAACATTAATAAAAGACTTCGAGCGATTAAATTTGGCGGTAATCTTAATTCGCCCAATCGAAATAAATTTGATACGCGAAAGTGCATTGTGTTACCTTACATTAAAGATCTGAGCGAGAATATTACGCGTTGCATAAATAAAAATGGAATTGATGCTTTATATACTGTCCCAAAAAAATTGGACACATTGATAAAAAGAGGTAAAGATGGGATCGAAAACTTAAAAAGAACTGATGTTGTTTATAAAATTGAATGTGCGAATTGCGATTCGGCGTATATTGGACAGACAAAGAGACATTTAGAAACGCGCATTAAAGAACATAGAAATAACATAAAAAAAGACACGACATTGCATTCTGTCGTTAGTTTGCATCGGACTTGCAACGATCATAAGTTCCGTTGGGATTCTCCGGTGATTCTACATGAAGAAAAACAAACAAGAAAAAGAGAAATTGCAGAAATGTTTTACATAAAAAAACAAGGAAAAAGTATTAATTTACAGAAAGATACGGAGAATTTTAGTGGGATTTATGATCGGGTTCTTGACGTTATTTAAGTCGTTTTTATTTTTACTTTTATTTTTATTTTTATATCCACTTATTTATTTATTTTTATTTATTTGACTTTATTATGACGATTTAAATTGCGAAAGACACATTTAGTTTCGCCTCTATTTTCTTAACGCTTAGTGACTAAGATTCTTGCGAACAGTTAACATCTATTTATTTTGTGCTTACTTCTGTCAGTCTTGCATTGTTCATCAAAACAAACGTTAACATTGTCGATTGTTTGCATAGAAGTTGATTTACTGTTTTAAATTTGGTATGTAACACATTTTTGTTTTTAAATGTATAATTAATTGTTGTGAATAAGTGTATTAAATTATAATTATTTTGATGGAACTTTTTATAGATGTACTTGAAAAGGGCTGCAATGACAGCCGAAACGTTGTATTTCAAATAATTACTCATAATAAATTATTGCCAGTCTGGTCGACTTTAAACGTTGAGGAGTGGTTTTTTATTAATTATTACTGGCAACCTTAAGGATTATTATTTATATATTTTTAATAAATACCAACAATTAGTAATTTTTTAAATACATATTTTATTTAGTATTAACTAAAAACTGAAAGTATTTTTATAAGAAAGTTAAAAATTAGATCTTATATTTATATATTATATATTTTGGATAGTGGAGTTACAAGAGCTTCAAATAACATTTTTTTCCTTATTGATTTTTCGGGTTCTGGAGTATTTTGTAAATGTACGCGAATATAATCAATAAATGAATTATCAATCATATCTTGAGATGCACTATTTCTTTTTTGAGCATCTTTAATATCTTGCAGTTCATATTCCAATTTGTCAGTAGAATTATTGTTCTTACGAGTTACTGTTTCTGATGTAATTTCCACAGATTTATGTGTATTCTTTTTTTTTCTAATGTTAGAAAAAGTTCTAAAGAGAATAACAAAACATCAACTTTTGAAAAATGAACATTACACAAAATTATTAATTATTAGTAACTAATTTTGTCTACTAACCTTCTTCTTTTAATAAAATTGTTAGGAAATAAATGATCAACTGTATCCTGAGATTCACTATTTCTTTTCTGAGAGTTTTTAATATCTTCAATGTAAAAGGTTTCCGGATGGATGCCGCGTGGTTTAACAGCGTAATGCCTATTTTTAATATCTTGTTGTTCATATTGTGATCCGTCAGTAGAATTATTGTTCTCACAAGTTACTGTTTCTGATGTATTTTTCATAGATACAAATGTATTCTTTTTTTTTTTAATGTTGGAAAAATTTCTAAAGGGTATAACAAAACATTTTTTAAGAATTTTTAACTTTTAAAAATAAACATTACACAAAATTATTAATTATTAGTAACTAATTTTGTCTACTAACCTTCTTCTTTTAATAAAATTGTCAAGAAAGGACAGTTGAGTAAATGGAAAAGTTCTGCGCTTTGAACTATTTCCACTTTTGTAGTCATCTTTTCTTTTTTCTCGGCTATATTGATCTCGTAACGATGTACATCTGGTTTGACAGTATTGAGGTGTGTAATGTTGTCCTAAAAAATTAACAATTGTAATACCAATTTATATAATTATTCATAACATCCAAAAATTTAGACATATAAAAGTATTATAGTAATATGACTATATTACTGTCATAGTAAAAATGTAATTACCTTGGTTTTTTTGTTGCATAATATTGGAAATTTCAACCCAAGCATTTCCTCTTATGATTTTATTCTTAAAATCGCGATTACTTTTATCATATAAATATTTTCTCTCTCTATATAACTCTATAAGAAAGTCATCACCCTCTTTTTCTTCAATTTCTTCAATGGCAATAATATTTGCTGATGAAGATTCTACATTTTTATATTCTTTATATTCAAAATTTATAGAATAAATCTGATTATCATCCATTTTCTAATTAACTTCTAATATCACTGAAAGTATGCAAAAAAATTCTTTTATTAAATAACTATTTTCATCCTTTTCTAGTATTGATATAAATATATATAACTTTATTAATTATATAACTATTGATTATAAATAAATTAACATTTCTCTTTATGCATTGTTATAATATTAATATAATATTAACAAAAATAATTACCAAATATTTGAACTGATTATACATAAAGTCAGAGAGAAGACTGAGAGAGATCATACCGGCGATTTTCATGGCACACTTTTAATAGGCTGTACATCCACTTTTAGGAATTGGAACTACATAAGGTGTGTTCCGTTTCACGCATATACGCGGATTTAGGGCCTGGGCGTCGATTGTGTAACTTTTTCTAAAGTGAAAATGTGAAAAGTGAAAAATTTCTTCCAATCACACATCGATTTTCTTTTAAAATCAATGCGTGATTGGCGAAAATTTTTCATTTTTCACGTTTCCACTTTGAGAAAAAATTACACAATTAACCTCCTGAGCACAAAAATTGTCATAATCGTTTCCGACAGAATCGTAAAGCCGGGTCTACATTGGTCGTAGAATCGTAGATCGTAAGAAAATTGATCCTATCATAGCTGAATATGAGGAGAATAATCGACTGTGATTGGATCAATTTTCTTACGACCTATGATTCTACGACCAATGTAGACTTAGCTTAAGGTCTGGGTCTACAATAAGTCGTATGTCGCAGTCAGATGAAGGCGTAGAGGTAGAAGGCCCTTTAACCTACGTTTACATCTGCAATTTACGACTGTGACTTACGTCACTGTTAGGGCTATTTTACAATAGGTTGCAAATATCCTCGTTGCTAGTTGACAATTGCCGATGGACTAATCAGAGCAAAGCAACTTGTCAGCTGATTGGTTAATCCGCAACTATTAACTAACAACGAGGATATTTGCAACCTATTGTAGAATGGCCCTTTCGTCACTGTTACGTACGTCGTATTGCACTCATAAGCGGGGAGCACACACTTTTGCATAAGCGCATAAGCGTAAGCATAAGAATCTTGATTGGTCTATAAACGTATGCACAAGAAATTCAACCAATCGAATTTCTTATGCATATGCTTATGCGCTTATGCAAGAGTGTGTGCTCCCCGCTATACCCTTAAGGCCTGGGTATCGATTCTGTAACTTTTTCTAAAGTAAAAACGTGAAAAGTAAAAAATTTCCGCCAATCATGCATTGATTTTAAAATGAAATCGATATGCAATTGGCGGAAATTTTTCACTTTTCACGTATTTACTTTAGAAAAAGTTACAGAATCAATACCCTGGTCTATAATAAGTCGTATGTCGCAGTCGGATGTCGGAACGTAAGCGATCGTCCAATGAGGAAATTTTGTTTTCCAAAAAGAAGGTCCAATGAGAAAATTTCTTTTTGGAAAACAAAATTTCCTCATTGATCCATTTTAGGAATTGGAACTACATAATTACTTTTATCATATAAATATTTTCTCTCTCTATATAACTCTATAAGAAAATCATCACCCTCTTTTTCTTCAATTTCTTCAATGAGGAAATTTTGTTTTCCAAAAAGAAGGTCCAATGAGAAAATTTCTTTTTGGAAAACAAAATTTCCTCATTGGACCATCGCTTACATTCCGACATTCGACTGCGACATACGACTTATTGTAAACCAGGTGTAAAGGCCGTTCTACAATGGAGTATCGTAGGTGGTAGTCGTAAAAAATTGACCTATCACAATCGATTATTTTTGAAATAATCGACTATGGTTTGTCAATTTCTTACGACTACAGCCTACGACACTCCATTGTAAAAGGCCCTTAAGGCCTGCATGAGGCTATTAAGTCTCTTAATACGTACCTGCATGACCAAGAAAGAACCAATCACAACACTAGAAAGAGATAGAGATTGGCCGCCTTCACGCTCTGTCTCTCTCATTTTTGACGACCACATTTTGTATGCTCTTTTTCCATGGATAGCACAGTCCATTACTATATATCTATGAATTTACATATTTTATCCAGCTATAATTTTGAAACCATCTAAGCGCAACAGTGGATCCTAGATTTCAAGGGATGGTAAGAGGGCGCCACCTCCCCCCCCATAAATACGCTCCTGAACACCGTATATATTCAAGAACAGCTGCAGCTGCATTCCTACGCCATATAGTCCACTTTCTCAATTAAATCGATTTTAATCTCACTAATTCGTGTCTAATTCGCTTCTGCGAAGTACTTCTTCCTCCTAATTAATAAAATTATATTGCGTGAAATCACAAAACTTTACAAACTCGAATGAATTCTCCAACACAAACGAACTACTTTGTGCACCGACGCGGAGGAATACACTTAAAAAACGGTGACTAATAGGAACATAAAGAAAGTCATTCTTGCTGATTCACTCGTCGGAAGAAGACATCTTTGAACGCGTTCTCGTACACACGTGGAAGAGCGAAGGATCTGGAAAAAGGGTCTCGAAAAAGGATCAATTCGTTCTCACAGCAAGCAAACTATATCGTCAGACGCGAGCCAATGCTAGACACAGGTTGGTGCATTCGATAATTAATCAATTATTTAGCTGTACGGTCGCTCCAACCGGAATAGTTCCTAGCTTCGGAAGTGTGTATAAGAATCGTCCGCAAAATGGCGTCGATGAAGAAGAGGACAACGACTACTTCAACTTCAAAAAAATTGAGTAGCAAATCGAGCCACATGGAGGACCTGAAGAAGTGGAGCCACATGGAGCAGCTGGCCAACTGGATCGTCAACGTGCGCCAGAAGAAACTGAAGTGCCACAAGACCCTGAAGCGAAACTTCCGGATGGAGGCCGTGCTGACTCACGCCCTGCACAAGGCCGAGTACGAGTTTCGCGCGAAGCAGTTGTCCAGGATGTCGCGCTGGCGTCGATTGCAGAAGGACCTTCTCAAGAACGTGGACTATGGGACCTGCGCTTTGTACAACGCGACCGAAAGGGAGAAGCAGGACCTCGTCCCCGAAAGGAACACCTGGCGGGAGCTGAATCTGTGTGAGGATCTCAGTAGCTTGGACAATTTTCTGCAGCAGCTCGGAGCGGTCAAACCGGACGTGCGACGGTGACCAGAGGCCCCTCCGATCATCTCTGGAGGAAGGAAAGCCAGACTTAATTCCTCCATTTCTTGGTCCATATTGGGATCAGGTGTAGAGCAAAGAAGCTTATCAACAATTGCTCAAACTAGGATTTTTAATGATACGATCAGCCAGTCTCTTGTTTTTCTGTTACTCGTAACTTTTCTACTCATTGCTGAAGCAGTCACATCAATGGATTGGGAAACCCAGACTTTCGTCAGATTTCAGCAGCCTCTCTGATCATTCCTGAAGCAAGGAAATCGAGACATGGTTTCTCCGTCTTTTGGGCCAAACTTGGGATGGGGTGCGAAGCAAAAAGATTTATCAGCAATTGCTCAAACTAGGATTTTTAATGATATGATCAGCCAGTCTCTTGTTTTTACTATTCTAATTTTTCTACTCATCGATGAAGCAGTCGCCTTGATGGATTGGGAAACCCAGACTTCCATCAGATTCCAAGAGCCCTTCCAATCATCCCTATAGCGAGGAAACCCAGACTTGGTTCCTCTGTCTCTTGGGCTAGACTTGGGATGGGATGCAGAGCGAAGAGGCTTATCAACAATTGCTCAAACTAGGATTTCTACTAATGCGATCAGCCAGTGTCCTGTTTTTTTTGTTACTCTAACTTTTTTACTCATTGCTGAAGCAATCACATCAATGGATTAAAAAACCCAAACTTCAGTTGCAGAGAGGCTGATCAGCGATTAACTTCATAATTTTTAATGATGCATTTAAGTCAGTCTTTTGTTTTTTCTCTTATTCAAGGAAATGGAGAAAAAAGTTTTATATTTCATATGCCAAGATTTGAAAGAATTTACTGTTTCAATATTAATAGCATTGATCGATACTTTTAACGTAACTGGGTGAAATCTTTGGGATCAAATGGATGTTTGATTCTGCTTTTATTATTGACAAGTAGGCCTGAGAATTCTGTAGATATTATATGTAACATTTCAGAAGGCCTTTGAATTTTAAGAAACATGAACAAAAGTTCCTAGAATCAACGGCGAGGGAAGAACTATGGAAGTTTTTAAAAGAACAATGCTTAGGCAGCATTGCGGCAATTTTTGCAGTCTGATATTTACCCTAGTATATATCTGGGTATTTTTTACTTACAGTCTCTTACCATTTGAGATGGCAACTGATGCAGATGGATGGAAAGAATGGATAAAGTTGGATAAAAAGAGAGAAAACAAAACTAAGTTACCATAAATCAGACGCAAGCCTTATCTTCACAGGATTTATCCTCGCATATTTTGACTATTGTAAGTCTACCGGTAATTTAATTTGTAAAAAATAGCACCAGTAAAATCTGAACTAAGGAATTTTTTTGGAAACTAAATCTTGTATATATTCTCATAAAGAACAAAAAAGAAAAATTTTTACACCATTTAGAAATATTTTCAAACTTTTTATAAATTTGTAAAAAAAACGTAAAATAATGTAGTAAGATTCGTATTGTGATAATAATTACGATAAATGTTTAGCATATAACTTATCTTGATCCTGAACAGTATAAGCAGTGAGCAAAAAATTAATCATGAATTAATTACTGCTAGATTTTTTATTTATTAAATTATAAATTAATTGTGTAATCTGCAAGATTTTAAAAAAACGTGTGCATTTTTTTCATATATTTCCAGGATGTTATTTATGCTGTTTAGGGTCAGGATTAGGATTGATATAATAAAAACAAAGGATCTCATAATTATGATAAACCAAAAACCATATTGTGATATTAATTCTTATCATTCACTTGTAAGTAACTTGTAAGTTCAAGACTGTGATACAGATAAGATATCATAAGGAACTGTCCAGGGTAAAAATAAAGACATTTTGCAAGTAACAAAGTAAAACTATTTTAATTACCAAATGTTTTAATCCATAGATCCTTTTCAGCCTGGCATCCTGGAAAATTCATTTTATTGTAGGTGGGTGGATATTGGCTGCTCATAAAGATGACATCGTCATTATTGGTAACTTTAGAAGCATATTTAAGTTATTATAAGGGAAAGAAAGTGAGTTAAAAAAATGAAATATAATTTGCAATTTAATGGAAAGAAAAGTTTTGTTTCTAGAGATCGATTGAGCATTCAAGGTACAAAAAAAATATCTCCCTGGAATTTCGATTTTCTTTGAATAATGTAGTTCTATTGATTTGGAGATATATTTTAAATAAAATAATTTATGCAAGCATGCAAAACAATTTATTTAAAAGAATTGTCAAAACTTTTTTATTTCTATTTGCTATGTGAAATATGTTGTTCTGGTGTTGCAATAATAATATGTTCACATAGATCTGCTCCATCTTAGCCATATTGAGATTCATGACCAGGATAGAATGCCAATGCATATGTTTTTAAGTATTTGTTCTTTGAAAGTGTAAGGATGATAGATATCAGAGACTTATATCGAGTGCAAGATATTTATAATATATATTATATTTATAATATATATTTATTATATAATAAAATATGTACATAATATATTTTTATAATTTCCTTTTTTTTAAATTTTGTACCGAATTTAATTTGTTTATTAGAAACTAATGAAAAGAAGAAGAGAGGATATATATATAAAGGAGACATCTTTTTGAAAGAAATTAAGAATTGGAGTGGAAAATATGACAAATTATAAATGAATAATTCGGTATTGTATATTTTTATGGAGAATTCATGTGTAAAATGTCCTACTGAAGATAATATCAAGGAATTTGGTTAAACCTAGAAACCAAAAATATCCAAAAATGAATAGGAAAAGTTTTCCACGAGAATTTTTATCAACACAACTAGCTTTCCTGGAATTATAATCGTAATATTTATCTATACAGGGTGTTCGGCAACAGGTGGGCCAAAATGTAAGGAGTGGTTCTACATGATAAAATAAGACGAAAATCAAGAATGACAAAATTGCGTCCGAGACTTTGTTTATTAATTATAAATATTTTAAACTTCGCATTAAGGGTGCCTGACGCACGGCAATTTTCCGATATTTGGCGTGCGTAAGGTACATCGGTAGAGTCGCCGTCAAAATACACTGTGACGCATAAGTATACAAAAACTTACATCGTAACAGTTGATGTATATTTTGCAAAGTGTAAAATATTTATAATTAATAAACGAAGTCTCGAACGCAATTTTGTCATTCTTGATTTTCGTCTTATTTTATCATGTAGAATCACTCCTTACATTTTGGCCCACCTGTTACCGAACACCCTGTATGTATATATTGTGCAATGTTTTGCTCGATACTTTTTTTTGTTTTACACAATAGGTAGCAGAAATTTGCACAAAGACCTGTTGACTTCAAGAAATTATAAATTTGGTTATATAATCTGATTTGAGAATCTGAAATTTTCTAATATATAACCTAAGGATTTAGGACTTGAGAGGAGGGACAAAATTCAGAATCCAGATTTTATAGAAATATTTGAAGATCTGGATTCAGTGTGACCAAGTTTTTCGGATATTTTTTTTCTAATATTTTATTATTAAATTGAAATTGTGTGAATTGTATTTTATAACAAATTGTACGACTTCAAAAGTTTTATTTTGTAGAGAAAATTGCAATGTATATTTATTTCTTCAATATGTTGAGAGAACCTTGTAATCTTGTGTTAAAACAATTGAATTTATACAAATCCAAATCTGACGTAATGAATACCATTGCAAACCCATGTACAATAGAATTGTATGAAAAATTATCGATTATAAACCAATGTACAATCGTAACAAAAGTAATGAAATAAAAAAAAAATTGCGCCAAGTGAAAGTAGAAACTTGTACCAGTGGAAAATTAAAGTTGCAGACATATATAGAGTCGTATAATGAATCAATAAAAATTTAAATTTGCAAATGTAGAATTGTACCATAAAAAAACTTATCTTTTAAAAAAAAAGATAAACAAGATGCCAAGTCCATGCGCCATGTGAAAAAGTGTTAAACAAAAAAGTATTTTTAAGTAAAAAAATCTATCAATTGACAAAAATTTATGTTCTAAAATTAATATCTCTACAAAAAGTAATGTCCAATTATTGCGCGAATAAATAAACATTTTTATAAAAAATTAAAATTTAAAAACTTATGCAAATTTAAAATTAATATAAAATAAAAAGAAATAAAAAAATTTTAGTTAAAAAAACTGGGCGCGCTGCAATGAGTTTAAAAGTAACAATTTAATTTTAATATCATTAGAATATTATTTAGCAGCGCGCCCAGTTTTTTAACTAAAATTTTTTTATTTCTTTTTATTTTATATTAATTTTAAATTTGCATAAGTTTTTAAATTTTAATTTTTTATAAAAATGTTTATTTATTCGCGCAATAATTGGACATTACTTTTTGTAGAGATATTAATTTTAGAACATAAATTTTTGTCAATTGATAGATTTTTTTACTTAAAAATACTTTTTTGTTTAACACTTTTTCACATGGCGCATGGACTTGGCATCTTGTTTATCTTTTTTTTAAAAGATAAGTTTTTTTATGGTACAATTCTACATTTGCAAATTTAAATTTTTATTGATTCATTATACGACTCTATATATGTCTGCAACTTTAATTTTCCACTGGTACAAGTTTCTACTTTCACTTGGCGCAATTTTTTTTTATTTCATTACTTTTGTTACGATTGTACATTGGTTTATAATCGATAATTTTTCATACAATTCTATTGTACATGGGTTTGCAATGGATAATTTTTGTTAATGGTGTGCCCTTAACTGGTCGCCTTTTTTTACCTTTTTTTAAAGGTGAGTTTTTAAGGATTATATCATTCATTTTTGTATATGATAAGCATCTTTAAATAAATAAGCAAATTCAATTTTTCTGGCATTTTCTTATTTTAGGTACATATATATCCAATAATTAATATACAAAATTAAATATTATTCATCACACAATTTGTATCAAAATAATATATTTTTAAAAATTTATTTTAAATTTATTTAATCATTTTTATCATTGTGATTGTAGTGGCAAGGATTTTATTGCTCAGTGTCATTGCAAGCATCTGGCCTGTATATACCATAATATATTGTGTAATACATTGGCTAAGTATGACAATATGGATTTTGATAGATTCCCATGGAATATTGGAATTTTGTCGGACTTGCAGTCATCCACCACATATGCAGCCTACAATTAAAGAACGCATTTATTCCATATTATTTGCTTCCGTTATTGGCATAGTGCACATTTTTATATATCTCAATGCTGTAGATAGCAAAACATTTTGAAAACATCTATCTTTCTATGTTATCTGCTTTTTTGAAAATATTGCAGCAAATTTATTATGGCAATATGCTTGTCCTCCTGCAGTTAAAGAGGCTTAGTACTTTAATATAATCTTTATTATTTGTATCATTTCCTTTTTCTTGGGAATTACAGCAATGCTTTTGTACTATATTGTCTTGCATCCCTCAAAAAGACAACATACTTCAAACGCACCAGTTCAAGCAATGTAACTTTGATATTTATTTACTTTAAAAAATGAGAGATAAATTATACAATATGCAATTAACCTTATCTTATGACTTTTATAAATCTTATGATAAAATCTAACTCTCTCTTAATCTTTATTATGAAAAGAATCTCGGTATTATATGAAATAATTTCATTGTACAGTTTAACTTTCAAAAATTTTGCAAAATAAAATAACTCACATTGTATTTCTACCATATATATAAAAAAAAGATAGGTAAATATAAATAAATAAATATATATTTATGATATACAATAAATAAATATATATTTATATTTATATATATATATATATAAAATGTTGGATTTTTATTATATATATATAATTTCAAAAAATCTTTTTTATATGCTATTGAATTTTAATACATACAATTTTGATTATATGTATTTTAATTGATTATATTTATAAGTATTTTTATATTATCTTAAAAAGACTGCATAGAATTATTTGTGCGACACTCTTATATGTATGTATAATTAATAGGGACCAACTACACATTTTTTTTTCCACTGAATAAAAACAATCTCAATATTAAAATTAAATTATAAAAAAGATACTGTGATATTTTATTGATGAGAAATGTACATTTATAATTGTATTAAATACAAAAATAAACATGCCATGAATTACTATATATACATATTTTCATAATTATCAAACTTAAAAATATAATATTGTTACCAAAGAAGAAAGCACTATTTAAAAACTCTAAAAGTTCATAATTTGTTAGATTAGTAATTAAATACTGCATTTTGTATAATTTTTAAGCTTTATTCTTTTATTTTTCTTTATTTAATTGAATAGATATTAACATCCACAATGTAGCATACAGATTAAATTAACAACCAAAGAAATAAATCTTAACTTTGAAATATATTTTTGTTTCTTTTAAATATCAATCAACTGGATTTTGTACTACTATTAATATGAATTCTTTATCTGGTGCCATCATAATTTTATGTTTTTTGCTACGTATGCGCAAGAAAGTTAAATCATTTGTTGGATTCAAGTCACGTACGACAGAACGAGCTTTATCTGACAATTGACTTATCAAACCTGCGTATTGAACTGTTGTCGTATTATCTAATGTTGACTTTATAGGAATACCTAAAACAGATATAATTTTATAAATTTTTGTTTACAACTACAAGTAAATCATGTCAATGATCTCATGTAATACCTTCTGCATTCACCACTATTGTTCCAACTACCCTTTTATGAGACTGAATTTGTTTCATAGTTTCTTCAACCTCTTATAAATTATTTCATCGAAATTTATTAATAAAATTTTTATTTTAAATATTCCAATAACGGAAGCAAATCATATGGAATAAATGCGTTCTTTAATTGTAGGCTGCATATGTGGTGGATGACTGTAAGTCCGACAAAATTCCAATATTCCATGGGAATCTATCAAAATCCATATTGTCATACTTAGCCAATGTATTACGCAATATATTATGGTATATACAGGCCAGATGCTTGCAATGACACTGAGCAATAAGATCCTTGCCACTACAATCACAATGATAAAAATGATTAAATAAATTTTAAAAAATATATTATTTTGATACAAAGTGTGTGATGAATAATATTTAATTTTGTATATTAATTATTGGATATATATGTACCTGCAATAAGAAAATGCCAGAAAAATTGTAAAATGGTTCCTATAGCACTGATATTAGATTTATCTTGTTAAGCTAATCGAATGCTGCGATGATAACTA